TTATGCTGTTTTTCCTTTTATTTGTTCAAAATTGATGGCATTTGTTTGGCTTCACTGCAGAAGAGAGATCCCAACTTGCAAACAAGATTAAGGCTCTTAGCCGGTTAAAAGCCAAGCTATTAGTCACAGCTGAGGAGCAACGTGCATCTGAAATCAAGCAAATAAGGGGAGATGCAGTGAAGGCTGAGTGGGGGCAGCAGATACGGAATTATGTATTCCATCCATACAAACTCGTCAAGGATGTAAGGATGGGAGTTGAAACGTCAGATATTGCATCTGTTATGGATGGTGAACTAGATAGTTTCATCAAAGCTTACCTCAAGTACAAATACAGCAAGGCAATTTCTGAATCCGACACCAGTTAACATTACACTGATTATTGATCATCTCTTTCATGTACTATAGGTATATACGGGTTCTGATTCTTCAGATGGAATGTGAACCTAAGAATGTAGATTATCATGACACATGACATTTCCCTTGCTTTTATACTGACTAGAAGCTGCAAGGTCAGATATTCTATCCATATAAAACTTCAGTTTGAAAAAACATTAATGGATACATGTTTGGGACTTAGTGGTTATCATTCACGTTGAGATATCTGTCCCATTGATATGTGTGATCGAAAAATGGTTTGCCATTCATCTCATGATATATTTAGTTTTCAGAAATGTGTTTTTTCAGTATGAATTGTATTTTTTTATGTGGTTCAAGTATTAAAATTACCAAAATATCTTTAATAAAACTCTCCTTTATATTTATTCATCAATAATATTTAAATACACAAAAAAAAAGTATGGTTGATAGTGAAAACGTATATTTTCTCATGGACATCTTTTGTCTTTGCGATGTTATCCTGAAATTCCTTTTGTAAACCCAATGAAAATAAATTGAAATTCTGATGAATTACACTACTTATCCGAAGGCTATGGGTCGGCAATCTTCCAAAATCACCAGGGAAGGTGCATCAGTAAACATGGTACAATAACTAGAAAATATTCCTTTGTCTGGCCTCATAGAATAAACCAATTTCAACGTTTTGTCATCAGGACCATGCCTAAAAATTCCTTTTGTAAACCGAATGAAAATGGGGTCAGAATTTGAATCCACTGCCCCCAAAAACCATGAAGCTTTTAGGAGCCTATTGTTTGCTATAGGGTTACTACAGGTTGTTAGTACTAATAAGGTAATGACTAATACAACATCGCTAAAGACCTTAATACGGTGCCCACATTTTGGCAGAGCAACCTTTTTATTTATTTATTGGATAATATGGTATTTAGGTTTTTGGTCTGATTAATCTCATAAATATTTACAAATTGACTTATCTATAAATACTGAATAAGGTTTTACTTTTAAAGATAACGTATGATTTATTAAAATTGTTTACATCTAAATCACGTTGACAAGATTTAAATTTGTATTCTCAACATAATTTGAATGACTCAACCCCTCAAGCTAACTCCAATGAGTTAAAAAAGTACTACAACCCAAGAATTTCCTAGGAGGTCATCCATTGTAGTACCACTCTCACCTAAACACATTAAACTCCAGAGTTCTAATGAGATTCAATGTATTAGTACCAGTACAACCGTATGTAAAAAATTGGTTATGCAAATAGTGTGCTTTAGTATCCGTCTGCTCACTTTGCATCGTACCTCAAGCGCCCAAACGAACAACGTTGAGCCATCATGATTTGAATAATATTAGGATGCTCTGGAGAATCGATGAACCCCCTGTTATCTATTTTATCCTTCTTTGGATGTTCAGTAGCACGAGCATTCAATTCATTGAAGTCAAAATGTAGGTGTTTCGACCGAGAATGAGGTAGCAGGTGCAATACAGCCTGATCCATGTAACAACCTTATTTGTAGTCCCTAGGTGCAGTGGATGGCAAAGCCACTTGCATTAACTAGGTCCAGATTCATTTTATAACAATCAGCTACAATCTTACATCCAAAAAAGGTACAAGAGTCATAACCTACACTTTTCTGTCTTTTCATGGCCCTCATCCTACACTTCCGTGTCAAGGACAATACACGCACTGTTGAACAGCATCTTCTTTGCTGTTCCTCTTCTTCTCTTGCTCAGCTCACACACATGCACAGCGTTGGACTTGCAGAATCCCCCGAGGATCTTCAAGTCTACGAGTCTGAAAAACAGGCTCTTTTTCCCTTCTTCCCTTGATTGGTTCTACAGAAGAGGATCTATAAATGGCTGAAATTTCTTGGGCAATCACAGATTTACTGTTGGCAAAGCTTAGTGGAGATTACATGAGAATCCAGTTAGCTCAAATCCGAGCTATCCCCCACAGTGAAAGGTTCCCAAAATCTGACATGTAATCCCCAAACTTCGTTTTTATGTAATTAAGTCCATTCAGTTAAGGACAACAATTTTAGCAAAAAGTAGTTAAGGACAACAATTCAGACTACGATAGATTAAAGGCAGGGTTACGACAGCTCTCCTTCAATTGCGCCCTGTTTGTTTAGTAGAAAAATGAAAGAACAACTTAACAGAAAAAAGGAACAAGAAATTAGATTCTTATCTCTTCCCTTCCCCCCCTCCTTTACTTCAGAAAAAATTTGGGTTTGACTTCCCAATTGATGTGGTGTATGAACGAATCCCTCGTGAACCGTATCTTTTATTTCCATAGAGGCATTGAGGGTTTGAACAAATCCAAAATTTGCCTTCTCAATGAAACCAGAAATCCTTTAAAATGCAAGCACAATTTATACTACTAACAATAAATAGACAACCGGAGTCCATGATATCTAAAAGACACATTAGCAGACTAAATGGTATACTATGTAAACAAATAACTTCCCACGTAAAGCATCATGGAATCATCCATTCAAATAAAAATACTTGATATTAGTAACTAGCAAGAAAGACGATCAAGAAGTGTAACATTGAGTTATGACATAGTAAGTACATGACACAAAAGCAACACATCTGCAATCTGTCAAAATAACTGAGCAAGGATTTAAGGTAAACATGGTAAAATGGCTCTAGAGTATTCCCTGGTCTGACTTCTGAGAATAAACCAGTACCAACGTATGATAATCACTTTACAATAAAACTAAAGTGATAATAATGTTATGCTAACCAAAATGAAAATTACTTAAAATAACAAGCTCATTTCATGTTACATTACATGTTACCATGGACACCAGTTCTGCATCATTGAATGCTCATTGGTGAAGGCAAGGACAAGAAGAATCTAAATATTTCCAAAATCAAGAATCAACAAGGATGGAATCTGATAAGAAAGAGGTATAACAACTCAATCACTTTTCAGCAAATGCTTTATTTCATAACTATTACCTGCGAAGAAAGCAACAACAAATGATTAGAAAGAGTCAGAACCACTTGACTGCTTTTAAGATATTCTTCTATTGATAACCAAAACTTGCAAAGCAAATATAAATTATCAATCCATGGTCAAAGAATGATGTCATTATGCAAAAAGACCTAAAATAGGCACAAAAAGGTACTCATACTAAGCAATTACATTTCCACCCATGACCATGTTTTGCTATTGCAACCACATCCAAAAGAAAAAAACAATGCTACAATATAATCATCTTTCACAGGGCGGGACAAGTGCACAATTAGCTCATCAGCATATTTTAAAAACATTTTAACCGCAATTCCAAATTTTCCTTCTGCATGAAACATATAACCCTTCAAAATGCAACCACAGTTATAACTCTCTAACCATCAACAAGACTATCCAAACTAGTTACATTTATAAAATGAAAAAAAAACAGACAAGAACATAAAACTTTATGTAAAAAGGGAAAATAAAAAACAAGTCCTAGTAAAAACAGCTAGGGAACAGGCCTGCAGCCTTTCAAATTCAGCAGGCAACGAGTATATGTAAACACAGCACAATCACCAGCGAATATTCCTTCATCTGGAATCACAGAATAAACCAATTCCAATGTCTTCTTGTCAGGATTATACCTAAAAACTCCTCTGTTAACCCCAGTGAAAATTACTTCAGAGTTTGGATCCAATGCTTATTGCTTAAACCATGAAGGTTTCTCAACAATGCACCATATTCCTCTGTAGCAGTCTTTGACAAAATCATTTATGCATATGGTGTGCTTCAATATCCATATGCTCATTTTGTGTTGGACCTGAAGCACCCAAACAAACAAGGTTGAGCCATCATGATTTGAATAATATAAATAGCCCCTGGAGACACCAATGAAACCTTATACATCCGTTTTATCCTTCTTTGGAACCTCAGTAGTACAAACATTCAACTCATTGAGGTCAAAATGAAAAAGGTGTTCAAGTGAGATCACCTGTACAAAACACCATTCAAATAAAAGCTGCGCTTGATCCACCTAGCAACCTTAACTGTAGTCTCTAAGGTCATTGGATGGCGAAGCCACTTCCCACACTCAGATGAAAATACATCAAGAGTTACTGTGCTGGATCCAGGGAAATCGGGCCAATGATTAAAGCACACAACCTTGTAATGAGGAGACTCAAGGGGATGGAAAGCTAATGCTACATAAACAGCTGTGTCATGTGTACTATCATGGGGTATCTCAACCAATTGTTTGGTTGTAGGGTTGCATACGTAGTACTGAGGGAAACATTGCAACAGTCAAGCAGATCTCCAATTTTGGGCTCAAATAGCATCAGAGCAGAAAAAGACTTCACAAATCCTGTGTTTAGCTTGAACAGGAGCTGATTATCCATCCGGTATGGAAGCTTGGAAGCATATTGAATGCGTGTGTACACCCTTCATAAAGTAAGCTAGAAATTGGAATAAAAGACCAGCGCTTGGGCACGCAAACATCAGTTATTAGGCGGCACCATAATTTACAAACACACTTGGATCTTATTAGCGACTTAGCTGGGAAACGGCGTAGAATTTCAACCAACAAATCATCAGTTAAATTGCCCAAAATTGACCACTCTTCCTTATTATGAACCCTTGGACTCAATAATTCACCTGGTTTTCCTGTTAAGCACATTGCTTATTCGAAATAGAAAACAGGAATTCTCCAAAGAAGTATGCTTTTGAGTAATAAATTCCCAAACTTTCAACAAATATACATACTGGAGTTACAGTACAGCAGACCAACCTCAATCAGTAGAACAGTTGTCCAAAGGCCCGAGCTTTGGCTTTGTAGAGATGGATATTACTCAACGTTCATGTTTTTGTCATCCAATCTCTGGTTCACGCACCTCCAGTGGTTTGCTTTCAAAATAAATAATAACGAAAAAGAGCTTGGCAAATAATTTGCTCCTGAAACTTTGAGAATTGGGGTTTTCATTCTTCTGCAGTCACAGTTCTATGTTTTTCGTGCTCCGATCTGTCCTCAACTTCCAATGAAAAAGCGTTCACCCAAAGCACCCACGGAACGGTAAGATGTCGGCAGAAAAGGGAGGAAGAACGGGGCTGAACCGAACCATTGTTGTCATGTTTGAATAATAAAAGTACAGTCGTGTCCTTTGTATCTAGGACAAATCGTCAAATCCCCTTCCAGCAACCCGTTAAGAGGAACGACGTGGGGCAGAAGAAAAGAGAGGAGAAATTTTTCTTATTCATTCTCTTTATATATATATGATTAAATAATATAATTAAATTAAAAAAATAAATAAAATAAAAAAAATTTATGTCTTTGAATGTTTTTTATAATAAAATATTAATTTTTTTCTTTTTTTTCTTTCTTTCTTTTTAATTTTTTAATAATTAAATAAAAAA